AAACTCCAACAGTTGCAGCCATCTGGGGACTGACCCAGCAGATGGAAGATACACCCCTTTCCCAGCTGCCCGCAACTTTCTTTCAAATAATAAATAAATAATAAATCTTCCAGAATCAAAATTCTGCAAGTCAGAGGATCTGTACTTGAGGAAGCCTCCTTGTGGTTAAGGAGCCGGAGAGAGCCCACTGGTTTTCCTTACTAGCCAGGCTGTGTAGATGGAGTCAGCGCAGCAGCCAAGAGCTTGGCCCAGCACTGCCAGCCCTGGCATTTGTCAATGGACACCTGCTCTGTGCCAGGCTGGACCTCAAGTGCTTTCCTTCTTTTAGGAATCGTAGCCACAGCCAAGTGTCAGGAGCTGTTACTGGCACATGCGGGTCTGCAGACATGGCCCCAGGAGTAACTGGTCAGCCCATTCGCCATGGCCAAGGGACTGTTCTGCCCACAAGGGATAACTTTCTTCCAACTATAGACTGGAAATGGGAAGAAAGCTAAATTTCAGGAGTTACAAACGGTAAGGAGAGACGCTGTCTAAGCTGATGAGCGACCACCTCTAGGCCAGGCAGGGCCACCTGCCCAGGCCCCTCTGCTCGGACCTGGCTCTCTCAACACTCCCTCTGGCATCATGGGCTAGAGTGGAATCCATGCCAGCCCAGGCATTTAAAAGGCCAGTGAGAAAGGAGGGGACCCACTTACTGTTGCCATCCATTACCTTAGATGTTCACACAGCCCTCATGACCATGACCCTGGGAGATCAGGTCATTACAACAGCAAGTGCAGTCACAGGCAGGGAAACTGAGGCAGCGAGGGGCTGAGGAATGCCCCCTGCCACATGGCATTGCCACTTGGCACACCACACATAGGAAGCACTGGAGCGTGGGACACCGCGGTGACTCCCCAGAGGCTGAAGCCAGAGCAGCCCAGGGATGGGGCCCAGGGAAGCAGAGAAGGAGCGTAGGTCCCTGCAGTAGCTTGGTGGCCTCAAAGACAGGAAGCACGCCCTGCGCCTGAGGGCCTCTCGGATCAGCAGTGCCCCCCAAGTGTGCCAGGAGGCTCCGGCCAGCCCCATCTGTGAACGCTTCTGTGGGAACGCTCATGCAGCAGCGGCTGCTTGCAAGACAGCATGACTCATGGTGCTGGAACCGCATGAAAAGCCCAGAAAAGGCCTGTGTGGGGTGGCAAAGCCTCAGCCCTGGCTCCACCATCCAAAAGGAGGGCTGAGGTGGCCAGAGGCTTCTTCACTCAGCGAAAAGCCAAAGGCAACAAGCCAGGAGAGGGCATGGGCTGGGGAGCCTGTCGGGAAGAAGCCATCCATGCCACTGGTTCCCACGTGGGAGAACCTACAGCCACCCCCCCGCAAGGGTCAGAGTTCCAGCGAGGCACGGATGGCCCCCACTTGTCTCCCTGGCTGTCCCCAGTCAGGTTGTGAGCTGGAGGAAATGCAGGCAGCAGATACATTGAAATCATGTTTTAAAAGAGGACAATCCAACAAAAACAAGCAAAATACAAACAATCCACCAGAGCCGTGTGAAAGCCTTGCCAGCAAGGACAGTGCAAACGCTCAGAGCCGTGCTGGTCACACCCTCCTTACCAGAATCTCCCGAGGCGTCCGAGGAGAGGCACGGAAGCGAGGGAGAGCTCCTTTCACACACCGTAGTGGGAAGGGATTTCAGTCTTCCTGGTGGAAGGTTTGCAGACACAGGCAATCCTGACAGTGTCAGAGGCGGCTGCAGTGGGAAGAGGACCCCAGTGCCACTGCTGGTCACCTGCAGCCACTTGCTCTCCACCCACGCTGCACCCAGCAATCCTGCCAGCAGAGCAAACACAGGTGCCATCCCTGCCCTCGCTGCAGCCCTGTGGGAACAGAGTCCGGCTGGGGTGAAGGCAGTGGTTTGAGAAGTGGATTCCTTCTGGAATCTTCAGCTGGCTTCTGCCTACCACCTCCGAGAGACGTCGCCTCTTTCTGCAAGGTCCTGTGAGGTACACAGCAGTTCCGTGTGAGGGAGCTGGGAGCAGAACCGGTCCATGAGCTGCAGCTGTACACAGGCTGCTTCCTGCAGCTGTGTGGAGATGCTGCGTGTACTGAGCCAGGTCAATCATTCCCTCCACAGCACTGCTTAGCCCCTGAGCCTGTGGACACTCATACCACGGTGGCACCAGAATGCCAGCACAATTTACATAAATTTCTTCATGTGGGCATCAGTTGTAGACAATTCTAGCAAAACTCCTCCAGCCCTTGCTCATCAAAGATCAGCCTCCAAACCAAGTCTTAAAACAGCTGCTCTCACAGGAACGTAAGGCAGCGTCCTGACTCCCTCACTGACCTGGTCAGGTAGCCACATGCTATAACATACTACCCATCTAACTTGCATTGTGTTGAGATTTGCCAGCTACAGGCCAGCAGGGCTCACAATTCCAGGACTGTTTCATCTACAGAGTCTTTAAGGACAATCAGGACAAACTGTAAAAGCTGACTTCTGCTGACCAGCTGGCGTTGAGTAAGGGACCACTTGCTTAAATTTGGATAAGGCCTAAAAATGGATAGTGTCAGCTCGCCAACTTGGTAACTCTCTCAACTCCCAACAACGGGAGCTGGAACTGTGACCCAGCAGGCTTAGCCACTCTGCCAGCATCCCCATGAGCGCAGATTTGAGTCACAGCTAGAAGACGGGCCACGTGTTTGGGCTCCCAGCACTCAGCTGAGAGAGCCCGAGAGCGGTCCGGGCTCCGGCCTTCGCACGGCCCGCCCAGGCCGTTGTGGCCATTCAAGAAGCAAGCCAGTGGATGGAAGCTCTCTGTGATGTTGCTTTTTTCCATCCTCTTTTTTCTTTCTGTAACTCTTTCAAATAAATGAATGCGTTTCTAAACTTCCCATCTATGTATAAAACAGGAGTGAATTTGGTCTCCATTGCATGTAATTGAAACAAAACATGGAAATCACTGAAGGAGACAATGACTAAAGTCATTGCCCAGTTACATCAGCAAGAAGCAATTTCACTTGGTGCATTACATATATTAAATACTGGTGCACACAGTGTTGTATTGTGCCATGGAAAGGCAGTGTTTGGCAAGGATTCGAGCACACGGGAGAGGCGCTTCCTTGCAGGGTGCTGTGGGACAGCACACACACACACACACACACTACCCGCCCACAGCACACTCACATCCTTCCAGACACACACACACCCAGAGAGGGACATGTGCAAGTGCCACTGGCAGGCAAGCAGGAGGCCAGAGAGGAATCGGCAGTGACGCCACACTCCGTTGGGTAATTACGGACTACAGCATCCAGGGTAAGCAAAAACACTCATTTGCAATGTGGTTAAACGCAAGCTGGCTTTGGCCTCTTCCTAGCTGGTCATGCTACCCAGGCAGTCACCAAGCTGGCAGCCAGAAGAGCAGCACACCAGGGGCCTGCTTGACTGCCAAGGGCACACACAGCACAGGCATCAGCCCCCCATGCCTGCCATCTCTTCATACACACTGTCACCCCCAGACCACACAGAAGGTGACAGTGGCCAGCACAACCCAGGACGCCAGCTCTGCCAAGGGAGCCAGGCTCTGGTGTTAACCCCCCTGATGCGGGCTTTTCCTTCCCCAGACCACACAGAAGGTGACAGTGGCCAGCACAACCCAGGACGCCAGCTCTGCCAAGGGAGCCAGGCTCTGGTGTTAACCCCCCTGATGCGGGCTTTTCCTTCCCACCAAGCCACACATGCAGAAGTCTTCACACACATGACTAGACGGAAGTCTTCGTGACCTTCAGTGCCATTTGGGAAACAGCCAGTCATTATGGGTGTGGCATGGGCCGGCAGGGGACTGGGCAGCAACGGACAGGAGTCTGGGAATAGCTACAGTAGCTCTGTGGGGACCCCTGCTCACCCCAATCTCCATGCTGCTTCACCTCTCATGGGAGCTGGAGTCACTCCAAAAGAACCCGAGCAGGTGGGTCCCTGTGTCTGGGTTGGACAGGTGCCGGAGCAAGAGCAGAAGAAAGAAACTGTGGCTTTTTGGTATTTTGTTCAGGTTGTCTTCTTTGACGTGTAAACCTCCAACAGGAAGCACTTCTCGTCTCACCATGTCTCTTTGCATGCTCCTGTCACGATTTCTGAAAAGGGTAGACCAGCTGACACAGCAGTCATGAGGGCCAATTAGGGTGGAACGAGGTTCCTTTAAGATGCAGGCTCCTTGTGCTTCTTCCCACAGTTGCTGGTACTGGGCACTGGTTCTGTGTGCCTCCCGTCCCTCTCGTCCCCTGGCAGGTGTGGATGCCCAGAAGCCCGGGAGTCGGTCCTCCCCACTCAGTAGGCAGGGCTGCTCTCTGCCCCTGCCTGTGGGCACCGCCAAGCTCACCTTGGCTCCGTGGTCAGCAAGCCGACAGCACAACCCGGAGCTCCCTGCTCAGACACCTCAGAGGTGGCCCTGTCTCCCCCAACACAGTCTGGAAGTCGGTAGACCCCCAAAAGCAGAAGTACAGGCAGCCCTTCCACACGCCCACACAAGCTCTGTTCCAGGAGACAGCTTTCCACCACTTCTCTTGCTTTTTATTCTAGAAGCTCTTCTTGGCCAGCTGGGCAGGATGTTTCAGCTCACAGACTAACCAAACCACCTCCGCCGCCTTGTGCCACACACACACACCACCTGCCATGGCACACTCAGGATCTCAGACACACACACACACAGTCTCAGGGACACACACGCCCTCATGCACACATGCTCATGTGGGTCTGCACACTCACACACTGGGGCCATGTTCACCACGGTGTTCACATTTGGGTGCGCACACTCGTGCACTTGCCAGGTGACTGCCAGCAGGGCCTGTGTGGGCCAGGAGTCCCCCTGGAGCACACTGAGTCCATCACGGGCCGTGCCCCCGCACGCGGCACCCAGCTGCGCTAGATGGCCCAGCATCCACACGCTTGAGGGACTGTGCTGAGTTCCGCCAGACAACCGTCTGCTGGGCAAGGCGTCTCCCTTGGAAAGGCAGCATAGACCTCCCCGCAGCCGCCTCACCAGGCATGTTCAAGGCTGGAACGTGGCGGCTTGTCTGCCTGCTGCAGCTCTCTCAGCGTGGCTTGGAGGAGGTGGCGAAGCTTCCAGAACACACCGGGGGCGGCTGTCCTGGAGCATTCCCGCACAGCCTCCTGCAACTGGAACTGACGCCATGGAGGGACGGCAGAGTCCCTGGGACTTGAGACAAACCAGTAGCGAAATATCTTGTCACAGATCACCTGGGGACAGAGAGGCCAGAGTTACTTCCGGTCGGGCAGGGCTGCGGCATTTTTCTAAACCCATCTCTGCTGCTGGGGGATCACCTGACTTCAAAACGGGCCTCGGACCTTGCGGAGGCCGTCCTCTGCGAAGGGGTGGGGAGGTTCTGGTGACACCTGGGGGAGCAGATGCCACAGGCAGTAAGCACTGCAACCTGCAGGTCCCGGACCTCCCAAAGACGGACTTCCCGCCATGAGAGGGTCTCCCGCACTGGGCTCATCGGCAGGAAACAGGTGCAGGCGTGGTCGTGCCATTGGAAGCCCCGGGAATCAGGATCTACACAGGGGGGCAAGGCTGCCCAAGAAGCCCTTCAAGGAGCCAGGCTCTTAGGAGCAGACGTGGAACCCAAGCCACGCTCTCCCAGCCTCTCATTCAAACCAGATCGGACCTTCAAGATCGCCTCAAACTCTGCAGTTAACCAAGGTCTTGTTCCACAGTTTCCACCACAGGCGCACCTGCATGGGGCACCGCACAGCAGGCGCACTCGGCCGGACTTGTGTGGGCAAGCACAGCACGACACACAAACGTCAGAGCTACTTTTATAAACGCCTGCCCCTCAGCTGAGCAGAGAATGCACGCCCTGTGCCGCCGACACCATGGCATCTTAGTCTGTGCCCAGCCGCCCGCTGCCCCGATCAGGAACAGCCAGAGTGTCTCTGGATGGCCTTGGTCTGCTCTGCCTCCGCCTTTGCTCAGCCTCCCTTCATCTCAGAAATGCATTTATGGCACACACTGCTCAGCTGCCATTCTGGGGTGCTCATTTGGCCCAGGAGTGAAAGCCCTGCATCCCACACATATCTGGCTCGGAGTCCCATGCCACCCACGAAAGGTTTTATACCCAAGTAATCTTAGCTTAAAATTTTATTTCTTCATGCACTTTTTATTTTAAATGTTTCAAGTTTAATTTTTTTTTTAATTTGAAAGGCAGAAACACAAAAGAGAAACAGAGACAAAAAAAGAGAAGAGGGAAAAAAAAGAGAAAGAAAACAAGAAATAAGAGAACAAGAAAGAAGAGAAAAGGGGGGAACTTCCCTCTATTCGCTCACTCCCCAAATGCCCACAATAGGCAGGGCCGGGCCGGGCTGCACCAGGGGCTCCGTCCACAGCCAGGGCCGGGCTGCACGAGGGGCCAGGGACTCCGTGCACAGCCAGGGCCGGGCTGCACCAGGGGCCAGGGACTCCGTGCACAGCCAGGGCTGCGCTGCACTAGGGACTCCGTCCACAGCCAGGGCCGGACTGCACCAGGGGCCAGGGGCTCCGTGCACAGCCAGGGCCGGACTGCACCAGGGGCTCCGTCCACAGCCAGGGCTGCGCTGCACGAGGGGCCAGGGATTCCGTGCACAGCCAGGGCTGGGCTGCAGCAGGGGCTCCGTCCACAGCCAGGGCTGGGCCAGGCTGCACCAGGGGCTCCGTCCACAGCCAGGGCTGGGCCAGGCTGCACCAGGGGCCAGGGACTCCATGTGGCAAGCTAGACCCAAGCACTTGGCCATCACCTGCTGCCCCCATGAATCGGAAGCGGCCTCTGTAACCTGTCTTCCCTCGTGCTTGGAATGCCTCCTTCATCACAATCAAGCACTCACATGCTATTATTTCTGAATTGCTTTTAAAAACTTCTGTCCCACTGATTTAGCCATTTATGATGGATGGGAATTTTCCATTGTTTTGGATTTTTTTTTCAGTAAAATTTTAAGATAGAAATCTACAAAACATAAAAAGGGTGAAGAAAATTAAAACTGCCTCGATCATCATCCCAAAATAATTGCTCTGCATGTTTGGGTCTGTCCAGTCGTAAACTAACAATAGCAGGATCGTGCTGTAAATACAGATTTCTGACCCGTGTCCGATTCCACTTGATTCAGAGTGCTTTCTCATATCAATGTGTGGGTTGATTTCCAGGACTGTGTAGAAGCGGCCACCAGGAAGGCGCGCAGTGTGGCCGCCCAGCTAACGGTCCCAGCCCTCGAGGAGGCAGCATGCACAGTCACGCTCACAATGCAGAAGGTGTCTGCTCCGCTGGAGCCTCGCCCGCGACTGTGAGCAGTGTCTGAACCAGTCCCAGCTGGTGAATGAAACTGGTTATCAGGATTCAAGTTGCCCTTCTTGCTGAGGCAACATTATTTCCAAGTTCTCTGGTCATTTGGATTTTGTTATAAGTGTATTTGGAATATGCTTTTCTGTTCCTCTCTTGCTAATTTTATGCTCTTTTTTGCCTCTTTTAAAAAAAAATTAATTGTATTTATTTGAAAGGCAGAGCAAAAAAAGAAGCCATCCATTGGTTTACTCCCCAAATGCTCACAGCCGGGGCCGAGCCAGGCTGAAGCTGGGAGCCAAGACCTCAACCTGCCTCTCCCACAGGGAGACAGGGCTGAAACTCTTCAGCCATCACCTGGTGCCTCTCAGGGCCTACACGAGCAAAAGCTGGGCCAGAGATGCAGCGGACAGGACTGGAACCAGACACCAGCATCTTGGCAATGCTTTGCACACCTGGCAGCCTCATCCTGGATGCGTGGTCTCGGGGTTCTCTGTGTGTTGTGTGTGAAAGAGAGATGAGTTTGTAGATGTGAACTCTACCCTGAGACAATAGCCATCCATAAGCCCCCAGAAGCCCAGCACCAGGGCTTTGCTGGCAGCCCACCCACTAGAACCTAGGGTCCCTTGATTGCCCCCACCCATTCCTGGCCGTGGGGAGTAAACAAAGAGCACTTACCTGGCCCAGTACCCAACCCTGCCCTTACTACATACCCCCAGCTCAGCCCAGAGGGCTTGCACAGGGGACTTGCAGAGGGGCCAGCCTCGAGGGCAGAGGCCACCAGAGGGCAGCACGTGGCACCCCCAGCCCCAGGCTTGGCCATGCCGACCTGCAGGTTGCTGTTGGCGCGCTCTGCTCCACACTTGTTCGCTCGCAGGTCACACTTGGAAAAGCAGTCGAAGAAATTGCAGTCTTCATCACCCGTGCAGTTCTGCTCGAGGATTTCCCTCATTTTAGGCTCAAAAAAAGCCATGTCCACATCTATAGCCAACACCTGCAATCAAAGAGGCACGTGGTCTTTAAATTGCCAGCCACCAGCAAGGAAGGAGGAGCCCCTGGGTGGTTCCCAGTCCCACAGCTGGGAGTGCTTGGGTCCACAACGCAGGTGAACCCAGAGCCTGCAGAGCTGGAGGCGCAGGCCGAGCCCTCGGGATCTGCCCCACCACACAGCACTAGCTGGAGGGCTGAGCTCACATCACTCCAGCAAGCCCAGGTTTGGAACTGCAACCACCAGTGGTTTTCATCCTCACACGCTTCACCAGCTTGAAGACTTCCTAAGAGACAAATGCCTGCATCAGGGTTGCTGCAAATGCAGTTTTGTAAAACCAGCCTTGTTACATGGCTTCAGCTTTAAGGATCTGTGATGACTAAATGTCAATACACAGTGTCAAGGCCAGGGATCCGCTCAGCGTCTGCTTGCTGCCGTTGTCTGCAGGCCCACTAAGCTAGACTCCTTTTGCTTTTGACCTGTGAAACTTCTTTGGTGAAGCAGCACGCCTTTAAACTGTAATGCAGCGTTAAAGTGTGGTATCTCAAAAGCTGAAAATTACAGAAAGGGAGGTGAGGGGAAGGCAAAGGGGCTATCATGTTCTTAAAACTGTACTAGAAACTACAGTGGATCTGTTAAAGGCTAATTAAAATTTAAAAATTAAAAACAGACTCTTTGAAAAATCTCAAAGACACATTTCCCAGGGCCTGGCCTCTAAGGGTGAGGAGTGCAGAGCTGTGAGAGGGAGACAGTGCCGTCCCTGAGCACAGCTCCACTGGGTGACGGGCGTCGGGGGTTACATGGCTGGCTCCCCATTTCTGGGTCCTGAGTCACCTGGTCCAAGGCTGCCTGGTCAGGTGAACGGTGGCATGGCAGGGTCAGAGCCCTCAGATCAGGAGCCAACAGGACCAACCACCAAGGCCCACCGACAACATGAGCACCTGGAGACCCCAACGCTTCAGGCTGGTGTTCCTGGCTTCAAACCAAAGAGACTTCAAAACCAGAAACAAGAATAACTCCGATGTAACGTGCGTCTCCCTCCACCACCTGGATTCAACAAAAAAAGATGAGCTCGAATCAGAGCCAAGAGACCTGGAACCTGCCAGACCAGGCACGTGATGGCTCGGAGGCAGCCAACAGCTGCTAGCAGGCGTGAGCGAGCTGACGGGCCAGCGTGCTCCGCAAGCCCTCACAGGCCAGTCAGACCACAGCCAGCCCTCCACCCCCGGCTCATGGCTCAGTGATGCTAGTCCCCTAGCAGGCGTGAGCGAGCTGACAGGCCAGCGTGCTCCGCAAGCCCTCACAGGCCAGTCAGACCACGGCCAGCCCTCCACCCCCTGGCTCATGGCTCAGCAATGCCAGCTCTTGGTCCTGGCCTTCATTTTGTTCCTCATACAAGATGGATGCTGGGGACCACACAGCCTCTCAGGCATCCTTCAGTACATCAGAGCAGGAAGGGGGAGTAATGTGTTCAAAATATGTGCATAATACTGAGTATAAGGAACACAAACTCTTGACCTCAGGAACTTTGTCCATTACTGATTCAGGCACAGTAAGCAGAACTTCCTCTTTCCTATCTCGCTATCTAATCCAGTCAATAACCAACTTTGTAATTTACTCCAATTAGTACACTAAAAAACAAATAAGGGAAACAACACCATTGTCTTTCTGGTTTAGGATCGCAACCACACGACCCATCTTTCCACAGCTCCAGCCAAAGCCCTTCCCGGGTCCAAATCGGCCCCTTGGCAGCTTCTGCCACTTCTGGCGGCCTCCCTCTCGCTGCCCAGGGACGGCAGGTTTGGGTTTTCATGCAGAGTATGTGGCCTGAAATGAGCTGCACGTCTCACAGGCTGAACCATAGACCCTCCGACAAGGACAGCGACAGCGGGAGGGTCTGTGTGACACTTCTTGGACAACCATAAAGGTCTTCCTGCAGGGAACGGCCACCTCGCTTCCTCTCACACACTCCTGGTGTTTCTCCTGTGGATGGCATGACTCTGTGCCATCCTCCCTTGCACCAGCTGCTGCCACTGTTCAGGCTTACCCACACGTGTTTCCAGGTGTTCACCTGCTGCCACTCAGGCCTAGGCACAGGTGCAGGGCCCGCCCTGCCACCCGCACCAGGTCACAGGAGCTTGTTCTCACGCTACCCTGAGAGGGCATGCAGCTTCCTGGAAGGAACCAGAACGGGCCTCCAACCCAGACTCTTTCCTCCACCCCCGAACTCCCTATCCGGGGCCACCTTACCGTGAGGTCCCTTCTGATGGCAAAGTTTTCAGGCTTGACGTCGCAGAGGTGCAGGCGGTGGGAGAAGTCACGGTCAAAATGGCCCACCATGTCCAGGAAGCTGAGCGCGATGCGGCTGATGGCCAGGGCCCGGGCCCGTGCCTGCTTCTGCTCCAGCGGGAAGAGTGCCCGGTGCTGGGAGCTGCCAGCCGCCAGGTGCTCCACAGCATAGAAGTGGCCACAGGAGCCCAGCACGGGTGGCACATGGCGGCTCAGGCCCTGCAGCAGGCTCAGGTACACAAACTCCTCCTGCTGCAGCAGGGCCCACGCACTGGCCACCTGCTGCTGCCAATCTGCACCCCGTTGGCCCGGCCACAGCAGTCCCAGGCTGTCGTTGGGCAGCTCCAGTCCCAGGGCGTGTCTGACCTCGCCGGCCACCACCAGGAGGAGCTCAGCCTCTGCCGGGCCACCCTGGGACCCGTCCCCCAGCAGGCCAAGGGGTGGGAAGCTGGCAAAGGCCTCCCTCGTAGACTTGAGGACCACGGGCTGGCCATGCCACTCAGCCTGCAGCACCTTCTTGCCTCGCTCGTAGTACAGGCAGCGCTGGTACCGCAGCGTCCCCTTCTCACACAGGTCTTGGCACAGGTCTCCCACCAGCCAACCGCCCCGGTAGTCCTGGCACTGGAATAAAAGGAAGAGCGGTTACAGCAGGACCAGGCCGGTGCCATCCCAAGGTTGGGGCATGGAAAAGGGACGTTCCTAATTACGGCAGAGGCCAGACTGGTCCAGGAGAAATTTGCTGACTCAGGAAACTGGACACCATCTGATTCCCTCAGGACACAGGGAGGAGAAAGAACAGCTGGTGTCCCAGGAAAAGCCAGGCTGCAGGCAAACGCTGGCTGCACACAGCTCTGACAGCACCTGGGCAGGCCCAAGGAACTGTGCCTCCCCCGCAGGACAGTCAGATCAGCCAGGTCCCCAGCCCACCCCAATCTTCACCTGCCCCAAAGTCTAGCACAGTGCCCTGCTGTTCTCAGCATGCAGTAGGTTGGCCTATGCAGCCAGCAGGCTCCCAGGTGTTGCACTGGGGAGGGACTGTTGGGAACAGCTGGAAGGGAAGGAAGGGTGTGTTGGTATTGGGAAGTAGCGAGGAAGGCTGTTCAGGGCCCCTCAGGGAGGGTGGGGCAGGAGGATGCTGCAGCGTGCAAAGCAGGCACTCCTCCATGAGTGCAGACTCCCCAAAGCAGGCGCTCCTCCATGAGTGCAGACTGCAGGCACTCCTCCGTGAGCGCAGACTCCCCTCCGCCAAGCACCCACCCCATACTTTTGGATGAAATTGTAGTCAGGTTCCTGTTTTCACGGATGTGTGCACAAATGAACGACTCACACTCCCATCAGGTCCTGCTCCCAAGGGAAGCTCGGCTGGCTGCTGCTCCGTGTCCCTCCAGGCTGCCCACGGTTCTCAGGCAGAAACAAAACCTGTCGGCTATGGCCCAGTCAACTGTTGACAGGCCCCGGGGGCTCCAAAGGGCCAGGCTTTCTTCTGTGTGTTCCCTTTTGTTGTGCTGTTTATAAGCAGCAGTGAGTCCCAAAGTGTTTAGCGACATTCACAGCTCACAACAATATTCTTTTATGAGACAGCTATGCTGGGCACTGCAGAACACCACTACACTAAGCTGCAGCCCCTCCAGAAGAACACAGGTGGCCAAGCACCCAGGGAAAGGGCCATGCCCTGCTTGGGGATCTGTCTGGGAGCAAACCTCCAATACCGTGTCCCTTTGGGGTCACAACTAACCCAAACCTCCAGCAAGGCCTGTCTGGCCAGGCGGCAGTTCCTCCTGCTGAGGACACAGTCAGTGGGGATGCCACCCCCAAGAGGCCGCAGACAGCCTTGGGTCTTCTACTTGCTGCAGGCCTCTCCTGGCTCTTAAACAACTTCACAGTGGGCAGCATGACAAATGGCTTTACCTCCCTGGGACTGGGTTTTACCATCCACAAAATGGAGATACCAAAAGCCAGGACCTCATAGAGTTACTGGGAGAAAGTAAAGAAAATCTCACACATGTTAAAAAAAAGTCAGCCCTGAGTCCGCCCTGGGAGGGCAGACAGCAGCCAACATCTGGCCCCCAGTATCAAAAAACCCAGCTTCCAAATCAGACACCCCCAAGCCACTGTCAGGCCAGCTGAGCTTCCTGGCAGTTCCTGGAGAAAGGAGCCTGACTCTCACAGCACAGACACACTGCCAAGCCCACGGCGGGCACCATTTCTCCACCCAAAAAAGGGGCGCAGAACTCTCAGACTCAACATCCCACACCCAAGACCCACAGCCCACCGGCTTCCGAGCTCCAGCTGCAGTGTGGTTGGCAGCCTTGGCAGGTAGGACGGGAGCCTGTGGCCCGGCTCCAAGTTTTGTCATCTGGCTGCTTTATCCCACAGGTAGGTCCCAGGCCCTCTGGCCATGCCACCTGCTGCTGGGGGGCCTGGGAGCACCACAAAGGCTCTGGTTTTGCCAATGAGAGCCTGCCTCCGGCTGGCTTTGGCAAAGTTGCTTCTGTGCAGAGGGAAAGCTAATGAGTGTCTGGAGGCCGGTCAGAAAAATAACGACCCATTTTATTACCCAGGATAAAAGCCAGGCAGAATGCAAAGAGCCGGGAGACAGAGGCTCAATTCAGTTCCAGTCCTCGGGAGCCGCGGGGCCAGCTCCTGCTTGGCAGCCCAGCCAGCGCAGCCTGGGCCGCCAACACTGGCCTTGCACTTAAATCAAGAGTCCTGGGTAGAAGCTGAGCTCACAGCAAACTCAGAAGCCAGAGGAGAGGGATGGGGTGGGAATAAGGAGAGAAGTGCACACTGGGCCACGCAGGTGCTCCCGGAACAGGCTGCCACCTGAACCCCCAACAGACTCCTAGGAAACAGACTTCCAACTTCAGTGTCCCCTGGGAAGGGGCAGCCAGGTTGAGCCTGCAGAGGCCAAGCCCGTCTCTGGGGCTTTGGTGATCACCGGCCATGATCCCTCGGCACTGGGAAGATGTATGGGGAAGCCTCTAAAGAGCGTTGGTTTTAATTTATGGCCTGGGCTGCCGGGAAGGTTATGACGAGCAGTTACTTAAATTATATCAAGCTATTTAATCTCCATTAAGGCGCTTCCCCACTGAATCAGACACAAATAAAAGTGGTCTCTAGCTTTCCTTCTCAGCTCCAAGATGATCAGACTGTGTGTGCAAACAGGTGCTCGGTTCTGATGAATCACTTCTGTTCATGGTAATCTGTTAACCAGCCCCCAACATACATCAAAACAGAGGGCAAAGCAAAATCCTCCTAAGCCGAAAGGAGTCTGAGCCATCCAGGGGCTCCTGGGAGCTGAGACACGTGGCCCTTCTGGGTCACCCTGGGGGGGAGGGGGTCATCTCGGGGAAGGGGACCTGTCTAGCTTGTACATTGGGCTATTTTCCTCCTGGTTATTATAAACTTTTCCAATCTCATTTCTGAAAAGGCATAGAACAGCTCCACAGTGCCCAGAAGCAATATGGAAGAAAACTTCCCATGCACTTCTTGGGGACACTTAAATAATTGGCCACTTTTCAGATCAAACGTTTGGCTGCTCTCTCAGAAAAGGCATAATCCACCCGAGAAATCATCTACCACAACTGGCCACTATCTCTGGCCTTCTTGGGTTTCCTCTTAGGGATCCCCGCCCGTCCTGGCCTAACATGCACCGAGTTGCAAAGCTCTGGACAGAGAAGTGAGCGCAAAGCGGAGGACACGGGCCAGCCGCAGACTGCAGTGCCCTGGTACGGCTTTTTCCGTCCGCGCCTGCCAGGCCCACCTGGGAAGCCCTCCGGCTTAGGAGGCTCCGAGACTGGGGATTCGGGCAGGCGTTCGCAGGGCTCCACCGCTCACTGGCGCTCCTCCTTGCGTCCCACTGACCGCATCGTCTCGGCTCTGGGGCGCAGAGGCGGCGGCCCTGCACCTCTGCATAGGTCTGGGCGAGGTTGAGTGACCTGGCCGCCGGGATGCAGGCGCTAGATCGCGCCTGGGCGAGAGGACGGGGCATCCTGAGAGACAGGAATGTGGTACCCACCGGCCGTGGCTCCAGCGCCGGCTGGTGCCCCAAACCCGCCCGCCCGACACTGGATGTGGGCGCAAGACTGCAAGCCGACCTCAAACTTTATTCAGGACTGCAAGCTTCCGAATGGCGGGACACATGCGAGCAGGAAAACTGTCTTGGGACAAAGGACCGGTTTAGGCAAAAAGGGCAGAGAAGTCACACGAGGGCCCCCAGAGGACTCCCTGTTGACCCGGGCATGCGCCTCCCGCACTGAACGCTCGCATCGAGACCCACCCGTGCACCCGCCGCTCAGGTTCCGGGGTGGCTCCGGGGTCCCTGGGGGCGTCCCTGAGCCCCTACCGGGAGCGCAGCGCGGGGCAGCGCGGCGCCAGGACCTACCAGCGCGGCCAGGATGCGCCGGCTCTTCTCGTCCGTGCAGCGCTCCGAGAGGACGCCCGGGTGCGCTCGGAGCAGCAGCACAGCGGCCAGCAGCCAGCCCGCGGTCCACGCGGCGACGGCGAGGAGCGCGCCCCGGCCGCAACGCCCGCAGCGCCCGCAGCGCCCGCAGCGCGCCATGGCCAGCCCGGCCGCACCCCGCACCGAGCGCCGGCTCGCAGCGCCGCAGCTGGGCCCCGCGCGGCGGGGAGGGGCGCGAGGGAGGGGCAGCGCGAGAGCAGGGGAGGCTCGGCGGCTCCGGGGGGACGTCCCGCGGCGACACCCCGCGCCCGCCCCAGCCCCGCTCCTCGCCGCCACGCCTTCCACTCTGCGCTTCTCCCCCAGAAGACCCGCGGGCCACTTGCACGGAATCCACACGGGTGCAACCCCCACGCTCGACGCGACTCCGGCTCCCCTGCCCACTCTTGCCAAACCAGAGCCCCTTGCCCCCAGCCCCACGCCCCGACCCCCAACGCCCCGCTTCCTGGGCTGGGACGGCCCGATTGGTGATCCTGTGCCTCTGCCCCGGACCTCCTGAATCCGATCCCTCAGTGGGTCTCCCCGGGAGTGAGTCGGGGTCTGGACACCAGGACCTTCTGGGGTAGAAAGGGCCGCGCGGGCCGAGGTCCGTCGGAGCGGAAAGCAGGCGGGCTCCTGGCGCGTGGGCGTCCAGGAGCCTGGGGGCCTCCCGGCTCGCCCAGCGCCTCTACCCCGGAGCGGGGAAACTCGGGGAGGCGGCTGAGCCCGGGCCTGGACCCCTGCACCCCTGCTCGTAGCTGCCACGCACGGTGGCTCCCGCGTTCACTCCAGAGAGCCGGACCGCCCCATTTATCCCAGTCCGGGACCGTGCGCTCCCCCGTTGAGGGTCCCAGGAGCGACCCTGGCCCGAGGGGTAGGGAAGTGTGCTCTGCAGGCGCCCGCTTTGGTCGTCGGTGTAGCTCTGTCCTAGGCCTGGGGAAGCCAAGATCGCAATCGCTGGTCCTGAGGCGCACAGACCCTTGGGGGGCGCGAGGGCGCCAAAAGCTAGCTATGGTAACGCTCGATGCCTGTGCCCGCCTGCACCACGCCCAGGGCTCCGGTATGAGGCGGAGAGAGTTTTTTGCTAGGTCCCTGCTACATAACTTGGGATGCAAGAGGTGGGGCTAGACCGAGGAAGAGGAAGGAGCGAAAATAAAACTTAGGAGAAGGAAAACGCAAAGCTAGAAACCAAAATGAACCCTAAGTTAAGATTTTCGAGTTAAGTTTTACTTTTTAAAAAAGATTTGTTTTTATTAGAAAGTTAGATTTACAGAGAGGAGAGAGGAAAAGAGACAGAGAGGAAGATCTTCCATCCGATGATTCATTCCCCAAGCGGCTGCAACGGCTGGAGCTGAGCCAATCCGAAGGCAGGAGCCTGGAGCCCCTTCCAGGTCTCCCACGGGGGTGCAGGGTCCCAAAGCTTTGGGCCGTCCTCGACTGCTTTCCTGGGCCACAGGCAGGGAGCTGGAAGGGAAGCGGGGCTGCCGGGATTAGAACCGGTGCCCATTGGGCCCGGCGCGGTGGCGCAAGTGGTTAAAGGTCCTATCGGCCCGTTGCGCTCACTTGGGGAGTGAATCATGGGACGGAAGATCTTCCTCTCTGTCTCTCCTCTCTGTATATCCGCCTTTCCAATGAAAAAATAATAAAAATAAATCTTTAAAAAAAATTAAAAAAATAAAATAAAAAAAAGAACCGGTGCCCATATGGGATCCCAGGCGTTCAAGGCGAGGACCTTAACCACTTGCGCCACTGCGCCGGGCCCACTTTTGTGAATTTTAGAAACATACTTCTTTGGGCACTGGATAAAGAGAAGTATGCAAAACAAACAAAAAAATTATAATCCATGACTGAGAGCTACTTTTGACATTCAAAAATTCTGAATCTCGAAGTTATGCTGCTCTCCAGAACCAGAACAAATCCACAAGAAACGCACTGAAGGTTGCTATCGCATTGCGTGGCCTGCGCACTACACGAAGCCAGCGGGCTGAAGTTCCGCAGGTCCAGTTCCCCAAACCCTTTCTGACCGCAGCAGGCCACTGTTTAGTTGCCTGCCCAAAGGGAACTTTCTAAATTTCGTATTTATTTGAAAGTGTTAGAGAGAGAGAGAATCTTCCATCCACTGCTTCACTCCTAGAAAAGCTGGGGCTGTGCCCAGCTGAAGCCCAAACTTTCCTCCGTGTGTCCACGGACGGCAGGCCCACGAACCTGCGCTACCTTCTGCCACTTCCCAAGGCACTTTAGCAGGAAGCTGGATCCGAAGTGAAGCAGCCAGGGCTTGAATTGGCGTACCTATGAGATGTCATTGTCACACATGGTCACTTTATCCCTATGCCACAACACCTCTCTTGTCTCCCAGGAGCCTTGCTGGTTGCATGTTGGTACCACCCAAGGTGGCCGAAGCCTTCTGAGGGCCTAGTGTAGGGTCCTGTGGACCAGCAAGAAGGGGCGAGCAGAGCTTGGAGCTGGCCCCGTGAACACTGCTGTCTACGGCTTTGTAGAAACATGAGGACATCTTCGTTGAGATCTGTCAGTGGGAGTGGCAGGGCTGGAGGCCCAATCGGCTGCTCCCTGAGTCTGTATTCTAATTTCAGTGTGGGTTCCAAGGTGCCACGCTAGAAGTGACCAGCGGCATTCTCCTCATGGGCCAGGGTCACACGCGGCCTCTTGCTGCTCATTTGCAAGAGTTATGAGAGAACAAGATTTTCAGTTGTGCTTGGGGCAACAGGGGTACCACACAGACACGTGCGCGCGAACAGCAGCAATGTAAGCCCCGCATGGCATGCAGGGAGGGACGCCTGAGGACCAGGGCGCCCACCCCAACGTCCTGCACTTCAGAAAAGGGACAAGGTGTGAGTTGGCTTTCTCCACCCCTTTCCCTGCCTTCCGCTTCCTGGAGAACAGCTCCACCTATCATATGAGGTTCTGTCTGGGGAGGAAGGCGGTGGGCATGCCTGGGGGCGGGGCAGGGGAGGGTCCTCAGCTGTAGGGCCCTGGGAATCCTGCCACCCAGGGCAGAGAGCCACAAGGCAAGGAGGTGACTGCTGTGACAAGGCAGGGGGTGAAGGAGCTCTGGGGGACGCTGAGGAGAAGCTGGGGAGACACACCTTCCTGAGCCAGCACCTTAGGGGCGCGACCTGGATGCTCAGGGGAGCGGCCGCAGGGGGAGGAACCCCAACACGTAAGGACTAGCCAACTCGATCTTCACCAGCGGTCAGTCTGTCTGCTGCCCACGGCCACTCCTCCCCACACACCACTTTCCGCTTGTGCGGGGGCATCTGGGTGGGCTGGGAGCCACCTGCTGGGGACGGCTGCCTGTCCCTTATGGCCAGGCCGGTGAAGCCTGCTGCCTCGAGGAGGCGGGAAGCTTAGCTCCGGAGGGACTGTTGGGAAAGAAGGTCTTGTTCAGGCAGAGCTGGCCAGGTTCTGAGGAAGCCATTGCCGGGGAGAGTGGGCGGGGAGCAGGCCCCACCCAGTGGCAGGCCTCCCAGAAAGCCTTCGGTCCTGACGTCATGACCCCATTGTCGCTTCCCTTTGTGTGAAAGCCACTGGGCTTGGGTTTCTGTCATTTACCACACGAGGACTCTGGAGCGGTCTAGAGAGATGGTGTCGATTTCACAGAGTGAACGGCAGCTTCCCACGTGCTCTGCTCCGTGCGGTTTTCAAACACGCCCTCCGGGTGAGTATGCAGGTGCTGGAAACCCAGCTCACAGGTGCTGCTGTTCAGCCCTCTGTCAGTTTTCCAAAATCAGTTGTGCTGATCACGCACTGGCTGTTCAACAGCAAAGCCCTGCTGTTTGAGGAGTTGAGCAGAGCATACTGAGACCTGAGGGCGGGGTCTGGAGTTGGGACTGTGGACACTAGGCGTGGAGCCACAGCTGCCCCTGCCCACAGCTCCCACGAAGAGCCACGCTACCTCCTCCTCTGGGGCCCCCAGACGTGTCCATAGTTCTGTTAGAACGCTTGTCTTGTAGGAGCCTGCTCATGCATGCCAGCTCGACTGGGCGCTGCTCCTGGTGTCAAAGTTATAAAGGTCGGTTTTCAGATCATGCTGGCTTGTACTCTGGGTTATTCACGCCAGCTCAGAGTCCACGTCTCCTGCTTTCGATGTAAATTCAGTGAGTCTTTGGGAACTTGCAGAGCTGTGCAGCCAGCACCTTCTCAACTTTACCTCTCCAGGAAGACACCTCTGGCCCCAGACGATGTTACTCTGCCTCGGCAGGGTTGGGCTGGTTTTGTTCTTTCCTCCCTGGACATTTTGTACAAATGGAGTCATGCGACAATAGGTGTCGTCTGCACGGCTTTCTTCACTCCCTTTGGAGGTGCATCCATGTGGCAACTGTGCCACTACACCACCTTTTAATCACGATAGCAGCCCGCTGTTCTCACATCGTGCGTTGCGTGTCCACGTCACGTGTCGTGTGTTCCACTGTGTGTCCAAAAATGACCCTCAGTGTCTGTGCCCGTTCTTTCATTGCCCTGCAATGGATGCTTTTGTCATAGAGCCTCACGGTGAGGATTTCAGTTCTGAATCACCACGCTGTGGCTCTGCCTGGCCTGACACACTGCAGGAGCTGTGCAGGGGTAGGAACCACTGGTTTGTCAAGAAGCCGTCAGGGGGGCTGAGCCCGACCGAGTGGCCTGTCGTTCTTGGTGGGCACTTGGCGTGAGTTCCTGCACCTTTCGAAGCAGCTCACCCAGAACCACTCAACAAAGTCCTTGCTCTTCTGTTTTGCTGATGCCTCTGTTTGTTGAGGTTGACCAGAACCCTTCTGCACAAAATGATTCATTGTGTTCCATGTAGGAATCAACTGGGTTCCTACCGTCCACGATGGCAAGGCCTCCGGTGGGGGAGCAACCAGTTGCCAGGAAATTCACAGCCATCTTTTGGCCTCTCTCTTTGTGTTTTCATTGCAACTGAGGCCCCGGCTATGGGCTGGAGTTTCCCACCAGGTCACGGGGAAGGCGGAAGGGCCCAGGCCTGCTGAGGCATCCTGCCCTGTGTGCTCACAGACGCCTGGTCTTCACTGGGAGCGCACGTGACAGTCCTACTCACCCGAAGGCACTGAGGCGGCGACACTGGCTCAGGTCCTTGCAGGGGAGAGTTGGTGACCCCCAGGCCCTAC